TCTCTGTATCAGCATTTATAGATTTACAGGGAACAAGGCAAAGATCTCATGACAAGAATGCAAATCCAAGAAACACAAAAAGGTGTACAGGGGGACTGAGAAAACACTTACCGTCACCATTCATGTTTTCAGATGAATCCCGTCTGTGTCCATTGGGTCTGTCTGGTGGGTAATTCTGGTAAGTGTTCTCAGGAGGAGTTACCTCTGCAAAGATTCAACTGCATTAGCCCCATGTGTGCAACATACTAATTGCCCTGGAGCTCTGAGATTAATATGTCTGCCTTTGACTGGAAAATACACTTTCTTGATATAATAATAATGAAAATAAAAGTATAAATAAAACCTATGCAAATCTCAATTTACTGCTTTATATTACATACTTTAACTATACCCCTCTATAAATCATATATATATATATATATATATATATATATATATATATATATATATATATATATATATATATATATATATATATATATATATAAAATAAATAAATATATAAAAGTAAATAAATAAATAAATATATATATAGATAAATAAAATAAATATATATAAATATAAAATATGTAAATAAACAAAGAAATAAATATATATATGCATATATAAATAAATATATAAACATATAGATAAATATATAAATATACAAATTTATAAATAAATATATAAATCTATAAATTTATATAAATATATATAAATATATAAACTATATAAATTTAAAAATTTACATAAATATATATAAATCTATAAACTTATATAAATATATATAAATTCAAAAATTTATATAACTATATATAAATTTTAATAAATATATATTTAAATGTATACATTTGTATAAATACATATATATATAAATTTTTAATTTATATAAATATATATATATATATAAATTTATAAATTTATATAAATATATATATAGATTTATAAGAATATATATATAAATTTATATAAACACATATAAATTTATAAAAGTATATATACATAAAATTTATATAAATATAAATATAAAAATTCATACATTTATAGAAATATATATATAAATTTATAAATTTATATATGTATATATATATATATATATATATATATATATATATATATATATATATATATATATATATATATATATACATATATATATACATATACATATACATATATACATACATATATATATACATACATATATATATACATACATATATATATACATACATATATATATACATACATATATATATACATACATATATATATACATACATATATATATACATACATATATATATACATACATATACATACATACACATACACACACACATGTACACAGATAAAAGCAAGCATGTATATAAAAGAAACAACTCACCGTAAGATGGAACAACAGAAATGCGGTTTTGGTAAATAGGGCCTTCCTCTCCTAGGGATGAGCGTGATGACCTATTACTACTCGAGCTGCAACGGGGAGGCACTGGCGGTTTCGTCTTATCCTGCATCTGATAAAAGACAATTTTGTGGCTTGTCATAGATCCCCTAGATGCATTTGAAACATCAGAATAAAGTTACAGAAATTCTATTCAGCATAGCAGAGACTTGAAAGTAAGAGAAATATCTTTAAATAATCAATTTGGTAGATGCATAATAATGATTATAAGACAGTGAAGTCATAATTTCCAATTTAACTTGAAACAAATTTCTGAAAAAGGTACACTAAAAATCACTTATTATATTTTTTCATAAAATTCCATCATTTTGTATATAAATACTTTAAAAACACATAATAATATTGATATTAAGTTCCTCCGTTTCAATAAATACCGTTGCTTTCTAGGACAAATCTCATTACAAAAACAAATATTCTGTCGACAAACACCTTGTCCCTGAGACCATTACACACCGCAATGGGAGAGGCAAGAGGACAGGTTTACATGCTCGGCGTACTCACATGCTCCAGGTTCGCATACAGGGGATTGTCAAGGGCCTGTGAGTGTGGCCTTGTGGGGTCTAGGCCTCCTCCAGCCCCCTGCGGATGGGAACTCACAGCCCCACGGTGACGGACTTCAGGGGTGGAGTGGCCAGAAGAGTTGTCCGAGTCCCGGGAAGGAACTGCCACCAGGTCGCTGCCCACATCCCCTTCCTGTCACATGCAACATGGCAACATTCCAACAACAACATGACACAAACCCAAGACATTCATCAAGGCACAAAGGTGGCAGTGGTGGTGACACATTGGAAAAGGTTGGGAAATAAAAGAAACGTGAGACACCATGTATAATTTGTAGCAGAAAAGAGGACACATAAAACGTTCCTTGAAAGGAGGAGGAAGATGCTAAGTAATGTGCAAATGGGTGGATGTAAAGCAAGTTTGTGTAGAAATGGCTAGAGAGGGAGAATGTGCTGAAAATGCATGTTACTGAAAGTGCTGCAACTGAATATCTAATTTTAAAAATTAAAATCTTCTATTGACTATTTACTAGGAATATCTTTTTAACAATTAAAAGTATTTGCCAGTTAATGTAGGCTGGATACTGGTATCCAAAATCATACTCTGACAGACATACAGTCTATTGAACACAATTTTTAAGGTAAAGCTTGAGTTTCCAAGTTTTAAAAGCTCAAGCCAAGGATTTGCAATCATGGAATCATCGCACATCTATCACTTTTAAGCATTTACATGCGAGAATTAAACATCATATCTAATTTGACACAAGGAATTAGAAGTATCAAAAAATTAGGTTAAGTGGGAACATTTGGAAGGAATCTTAGGAAGATGGGGAGACCTGTAAAAAGATAAAAGACTTTCATAAGGAGAAAGCAGTGTTGTGAGAAATGAGCGAACTTGAAGAGTCAAGAGGAAAATACATGGCTAAACTACAGACGGTGATCACTGAGCCGACTGTAACAGTGCATGGAACTTAGTAAACGTGTTGAGAAGTTGCTCCGAGTCAAACATGGCCATCAAGTATTGCAACTTGATTAGATATTCCATTTAACATCCACAATAACATCTCTATAATACTAATAAAAGCCACAGAATGGTGGACATGGTGTAACAATCAGGCTGGCTATGCATGCCTTTCTGAGATAATAAAAGAATAATAAATGTAATGCAAAAGTATTGGAAAATGAAAACACATTCCCTTCTCGTCAGGAAACCACTCACTACAACACAAAGAATACAAGCATAAAATTATACACTAATACACTACTAAACTATGAGAAAAGTATAATTTAAACAGACTGCAGTCTTTTAAGCAGTTTCAGACTAACAACTGTTTTCTTCTTCTAATATTGAGTGGTTCCTGGCAGAAGGTCTATGTGCTACCTTGAAACCAGGCAGAAAAGGCCTATAATCCATGAGATCAGTGCAAGAGGTCCCACATTCCTTTCATTGGTGACACTTTATATTTTGAACATAATAAAAATTAAATAACATATGAATGAATACCGTCTCTACTAAACAATCATTCAGGACTTGAAAATAATTTTGACAGAAGTAACACCAAATAGAAAAGTAATACTTTGAAAACATAATTATTTTCATGCAGATCTACACAAAGAACAGGTGATTTCTACTAATACAGCCAAAAAATAATAATAACAAAAAATAATCAAATTACCTCCACATCTTAAAGGAGAAGCAGTGACTGAGGCAACTAAGGGACCATATTACCAAAAAGGGGTTAAAGACATCCCACATCAAAGGGATGTGCACCATGATTTACCATCCTGGCTTTGGTCCAGACCCCAAGATCTCTCCAAATTAATGATTCTGAGACTGACCTGAGCCATATAGTAAATCTAAAGAGAGCTGGTGATTAACCCCATGACCAAGTTATGTGCAAGGGACTAACCTTGTGGTTGTCATAGGACATGAGCTGCATGGAAGGAGGAAGCTGAGCGTGGAACCCTAATTTGGTCACCCATTCCTCCAGGTTCTCGTCAGACTCAGCCAAAAAGAGGTATTCGGCATTGTCCCTTGTAATCACCCTAGTTAAAAAGAAAAGCTTTGTTATATTTGAAGTTTTGTCATTGTTGTTCTAAGAGTTGTTCTTAATAAACTATAATTTGTGACTCATGAGTTATGAAAAGGACAATATGTTTAAAAAATATACTCTAGCAAGTAGAAAGATGTTAGATATAACAGATCACACCTAGCATGACTTTAGAGTACATAACATCTCTGCATTTTACTTCAATATAAAAACCATACAGTATTTGCAAATACACCCAGAAAATCAAATAAAACACATAATTGCCAAGGTGTCAAAAACCTCTGATTAAACATTAGCTTAAATAATAAAGGGCTTAGTGACCATCTCCAGTTCACACACATGCAGTTCCATCCCCTTTTAATTCCCAACTTACCTGAATACATGCTTCTTCTTGGTGTAATCTTCTGCCTTCTCTACTCCTGCTTGGTGAATAGAGATGGGGGACGATGCAGCCTTCTGGTCGTAGAAGTCTTCCTCATCCTTGAAGAAGCATAGCAACTGGCCACAGAGAACTAGAAGGGGAGAAAGTTTAATACTATCTGACTAAATATGATATGAGATTATACTCCATAGCAACTAAATATATATCGTACTTGCAGTAATGTTAGAACTACAGTATAATCATTCCACCACAGAAAAAGTTCTCACCTGTATAGAATGTCTTCCAGGATCTGATGGTTGCCTTCTTGCCTCCACTCTGCAACTCCTGCTTGCGCTCAAGGTAGCCCTGGATTTCAACAGGTGGGAGATTAGCCATGTTCTCCATGCGCTTGTGCTTTCGGAAGCTCTGTGTTCTTCGTCTTGTGGTGAAACTAGGCGTTCTCTTGGGCTTCTTCAGGTCAACTTTCATGCTCTCTGCCCTCTTGATATCTATTAAAGTACATGCTACCTTTAATACATTAAAGTTTTATTTTTTTCATTATTTCTCTATACCGCCTCCTCCCCCCTAGGAGTGAATAACTATGCATGATTGACTTTCACATCATTTGTATATCACTTTTCCCTTAAATTGATATTGGGTAATTCTCTTTTTAGTGCTACTGTGAAATTAATTGATATCAGACATATATGAGAGACTGAAATAAAATAAAAAACTATAAACTTTCAAGGCATAACATATATATATATATATATATATATATATATATATATATATATATAATATATATATATATATATATATATATATATATAATATATATATATATATATATATATATATATATATATATATATATATATATATATATATATATATATATATATAATATATATATATATAATATATATATATATATATATATATATATATATATATATATATATATATATATATATATATATATATATATATATATATGTATATATATACATACATACATATTATACATATTATATATATATATACATACATACATATTATACATATTATACATATTATATATATATATATATATATATATATATATATATATATATATATATATATATATATATATATATATATATATATATATATAACTACAAAACAGAAAATCTAGATCTATTTCATTTGAACTATCTAACTACAAAAAATGTAAATGCATCTATCAATTTACCTCTAGAAATGAATAACAGTAGCACAAGCACTAGCAATCAAAAAAGTGCTACTGTAAGCAAAATTCAGATTCTTTATGGTAAAAGCCAATATTTAATATAATGTTAAAGTGTTACAAAAATCACTTGAGAAAAAAAAGGCAACACCAACAATCAAAAATGAAGAATACAAAGGATTACTCTCATTAATCAATTAAAACCAACACCAATTATTCTTGCAAAAGAAAAAAAATATAAGAAAACATGCATAATTATTCTTGTGTAACTGGAAGTAATGAACTTTAAAAAATGACACCGCAAAAAAGACAAAAACTGAAAAAACAATCAACTTCAAAACAGAAAAAAAAAAAAAATAGAAAAAAAATAAAAATCATGCTGAAAAACATATATTCAAAACCAGAAAACAACACAAAACAGCACTGAAAATTCCAAAAGGAAAAACAAATTAAAACACCACATGCTTTCCAAACGATGAGTAAAACTTCAACGAGTGTCATGGTACCAGGTCTCCCTTTTCAAGTATAGGGTAAAAAACCTCTCAAATGACCCTTTCATGCACCATTGTGTTATGACTTATTTCTCCTAACGGTATTCCCTCCTCTGTCACTGCAAACAGGATCCTAATGGATATCTGATCGAACTGATGAACAGATATCCTCAGTTGAGTTAGGCAAACTTAATAACAGGGTTAAATCATCTAGAGGTTAAGGCCTTGTACAATGTGATTAAGGCTGGTTATTCCATGTCAGTATCCCATGTTTTGAGCACTGATGTTCAACATGTGCCGTTCTCTCAAGCCGCCTTCTTCTCTTTACTAAAAGTGACTTCACATGACTTTCTCAGGGAGCATTAAACTAGGACATACAAATAAATAAAACTGCAAAAGACAACATTAGCAAAAGCAATCATATTGCATGAAAATAATGGAGAGAACTTAGCATGTGAACAGCAAGACTATGTAAGGATAATAAAAATTAAAATTGAACTTATAATAGAGAAAAACATGGCAAAGGAGGGTCTACAGTATATATTAACAATTACTATACACTTGGCATAATTAGGAGACAAAAGTGTATAAACTACACCCAAAAAAGTTGTTTTAATCTTTATCTTTCCTTTATTTTCCAAATGTAATGTAACTGTTAATATGAAAGGCTAAGTCATTTTTCTTCTTTTCTTCTTGCATTCTTAAATATCATTTGCTATTTAATTCTTACCTATTCTTGGAGATCCTTTGACACTCTACTATGATTTGCAATACAGTCATGTTTTTTTCCCATAATCTGTAATTTTTCTGTTACATAATTATCTCATTACAAAAACACACACTTTTTTCTAAAATACCAAATACAAATACAGAAAAAAGACATCATGTTTCTTAATATCAAAGATCATGATTTAGGTTAATATTTAAAATTTTACTCAAAAATGCTAGCCAAGCTATTAGCAAGACCCTAATTCATCTGGCTTCCTGCAGGAGTAGGTATACTTCACCATAATAGGACACACTACATTATTTACCTCTTTTACCCTAAATTTTGAATTTTATCTATAGAACCACACAAGCTTGTTAATTGTGAAAATTCTGGAACTCTTTTATTTGCATTCCAATTTTATCATTACAGCTTACATCAAAAGATCACACCAACTGCTTTATTTGGCTAATTTACTGAGAAGGACTGATTATGTAATATCATTCATATTAGAAACAATAATTCCACAACTTACTTAAAATCTGCCAAACTGTTTTCAAATACAAATGAAGTACAATTAGAAAATGTCCAACTCTTACATAAAACTTATATATAAACCGTTTGTTATGTCCATGAATATCTTGACAGATATATGCATGTGTATATATGAAATAAGAACACATATCTATATATAATAAAACAAAAACAGAGGTACAAATCAAATTCAGAGAGGCCAACGCCCCATACTGGCGCTGACCAGGAATCAATCAGAGAAAAGAGAAAAAAATTTAAAGAAAGAAAAAACCCACATGCAGCATGCACTTACCAGCACCTCTGTTAGAAGGACTCGCCCGGAACAGTTCCTGGCGAAGACTGTTACCTCTCTTTAGGCTGCTGAGGCTGGTCTGCGATCCTGATCTTGGAAGTCCGCCACCATCTGGTACCTCCAGCGCTTTCCTGTTGGATTTCGTCATTGTTACCCAAAGCGTGTGTTCTTGTGTGCATCTATACTTCACCAAGATCATCCATTACTTGTTCCTCTTATTAGATGTGTATGTATACATTAAGGGGAACAATTACTCCTTGTATAAGTATAAGGTATGCAAATTTATTTTTAAAGTGTTTACATTGCATTTTTTAGACTTCAGCAGCACTCTGATGGCATACATTTTTAAAAAATTCTGGTGAAGCATAGATCCAAAGACAGAATTAAAGTTCTTTAAACCATAAGGGATATTTATACTTATATTTTTGAATAATATGTCTGTTGTATGACTTGTTTGATTATTAGTATAATTAAATCACTGTTATGGTATTTTCCATATTCTGCTTTTTTGTTAGTCACATTGCTGTGTGCTACATAAAGGACACTGTGCAAAATGCATTCTTTTAATCATTGTTGGTTTAATTGTTTATTAAATGCTTTTTATTTTTTAATGATTCCCCTTCACCAAGCAAATACAAAAATACAAGATATATATTTATTCACTTATTCTGTCCCATGCTCCCCTTTACAAAGAAAATGAAAAAAAGGAAGAATTACACCACCACCATTAACTCCTTTACATAGACATACATGAAAGGTTATACCCAGCAACCACCATGAGTGAACTAAATGATGCAAAACAGACATTCAAAAATGCTTTTTTTTTTATTAAAGGCCTTTTTCATCACTTACCAAAAGGCCTTCTATTCTGGCTATTAAAACCTGCAAAATGCATGTCAAAAGTCTTTCAAGTGCAAGTCAAAGACTGTGATGCTTGATTACATGATATAAGCAATGTTTGTTCATTCTTCCTTTCAATAAAAACCTTTCACATTGTAATCAACAATACACAATTCCTTACAACTTAAGCTCAAGGACAATTTTGCCTAATATGTATTTAAGAACATACAATTGTTTTCATATAGTTGAAGAACCTTATGTTGTATGCAAATGTTCAACCCTGCTTTACATAAAAATTTATTAGTTTATATATAACAGTCAGTATAGTGTCTGTCCACATCTCTAAAAGAAAAGAGAAAAAACAGGTTGGTTTGCATGTCCCATAAGTTTCCGTCCATGATGCACTATAGCACTATACCCCAATGTTGGCCACTTTTTAAACACGAAGCGTTGTTTATCAAACATCAAAAATTCTCAGAAGCTGTGCCGATGCGAGGCCAGACCAGGTGCTCCAGGCATGATTTTTTGTCTTTTAATCGATTAGTGCATCTGTACCTTACAAAAACCTCTCCCAGAGAACTTGAGCGCATCCGGTACCTTGGGTGACCCTCAGGAGTGCTCGCGGTCTCAGCTTCCTCAGAGCTGGAACTGTGTGGGTGGTGCAAGGTCAAGTGAGGTCAAAGGTTAAGTTAGGTCACAGGTGCAGAGAGAGGTCAGGGAGACATGCATGAGGTTTGAGGAGAAATATTACTGAATCAGGCAAAAGAAAAAGGGGGGGGAAAAAAAAGTAAGGGAAAAAATGTTGGAAATCCAAAGGCATTCTAAAAACTAAACATAAAAAGATCAAATGAAAAATATATACTATATAAATATATATAAAGAAGTCATGCAGTCCTGTCAATAAAGGTATTTATACAATGCAAACCACACAACTGTCCATCCCAAAATGCAATATACACTACTGATGTGACTGCATGCAATTGTTAAAATAAGATGCTAGATACAAGGTGCAAATTAATATGCGAGAGTTGAATAAATACAATGTGGAAGAGGTCCACACTTTAATCTACAGGCTTAAAGAGATGTAAATAAGTAAATCATCAACAAATGGCTTTATCATCATGAAAGGGTCAAGCAGGAAAGAGAAAAAATAGACGGAGAATTCATTATAAAGCCAGCTAATACTATACAAATACTTATAATGCATGAATGTAACAGCACATGTGAATCACAGGGAGATCAATAGCTGCGTAAGACTGAAATGCAATAAATTAAATGGCATAAAAAAAGAAGGATAAACTTAATAGAGGGGGGGGGGAGGGAGTGGATATGAAAAAAGCTTATAGACGGCAAAATGGGATGGATCAGCGTGAGGAATAAATATGACATCCAAGGCAAAGGATTCTCGGCAAGCTTTACTTTAAGATACGGCTAGATCTAAGAAAGAGAATTTATCTTTAGCAAAACAAACTCAGGCAAGATTATAATGTTCAAGGTAGAAAATAAGGGAATACTGAAATAAAATCATACACAGGAATAAGAAAAAAATTAGTACAGTTAATACATGTCAATCAAAATCTTAAAGAAAACAAACTAATAATACAGGCTAAAAAATAAACTGACAATTAAAAAAAAAACAAAAAACATACACTACAATGGGTCAAAAATGAATATATTTATTAGGCAAGTTTGACTAAATTCCCTAAATTCTCTAATATTTATAAAATCAAATCAAGTTTGTTTTTTTTTGTTTGTTTTGTTTACTTGGTCTGAACTAGAAAAAAAAATCTAAATGTTATGGATGTTTAAAATAATAATTACTAAATAATCATTAACAATCAAAATCTCTCACAAAGTTTCCCCTTCTTTCTTTGATCTTTTTTGACCCATAACAGAAGCATGTATCAAAAAGGGAAAATACATAAAAAAAATTAGAAAAGTTCATGCAAATTCTTTCGAGGCAAAAGAATAATACAAATTAATAAAATGACGATAACAAATAAATTGCTGAATAAAAAAGTCAAATCGAGCATAGGAAAGAACAAAAACAAAATGCAAGCGGGAATGCAAGTGAAGAAAAAGAGGTGCCTTTTACCTCGCGACCAAAACACTCTCGCTGTCTTTTTCCGAGAGGCTGTTTTTAAGTCCTTGTCATGAATCCTTGCGTGAAAGTCGCTCTTCATAGATTTATTTTTTTATTATATGTCTATCCTACCAATTTTAAGGGTTTACTTGTTAAAAAAAGTTCTTAAGTATTTTCATTTTAGGTCCTTGTTTTTCATTCTTTGAATAAGCCACTTTTAATATATTCACGAGTGTATATACATGTGTCTATATATATATATAAATAGATAAATTAATTTAATCATACTTATATATATAAATATATATATATATATAAATACATATATGTAAGTGTGTGTGTATATATATACATATACAAATATATATACATAAATGTATGTATTCATAAATATATATATGTACGTATACATAAATATACATACATGTACATGTGTAAATATATATATATATATATATATATATATATATATATATATATATATATATATATATATATATATATATATATATATATATATATATATATATATATATATGTATATATATATATATATATATATATATATATATATATATATATATATATATATATATATATATATGTATATGTATATATATATATGTATATATATATATATATATATATATATATATATATATATATATATATATATATATATATATATATATATATATGTACATATATGTACATATATGTACATATATGTACATATATGTACATATATATACATATATGTATATATATATATAGATATATATATACATATATGTACATATATATACATATATATACATATATATATATACATATACATACATATATATACATATATATACATATATGTACATATGTATATATATACATATATATACATATATGTACATGTACATACATATATGTACATGTACATACATATATATACATGTACATACATATATGTACATGTACATACATATATGTACATGTACATACATATATGTACATGTACATACATATATGTACATGTACATACATATATGTACAGAGATATATATATGTACAGAGATATATATATGTACAGAGATATATATATATATATATATATATATATATATATATATATATATATATATATATATATATATATATATATATATGTATATATATATATATATATATATATATATATATATATATATATATATATATATATATATATATATATATATATATATATATATATATATGTAATATATATATAATGTAAATGTATATGTGTATATATGTGTGTGTGTATATATATATATATATATATTTTGTATCCCTATTTTTTTAAAGAATCAAAAATAGGTATAATTTTGTCTGACACGTTAAACAATCTACACGGGTTATTTTAATATGTATAATATTATCCAAACATGCTGCACATTTTTTTTCTATATGGACTTCAAATAAAAAGGCATGTTGGCAAATTCTATCCAAAATGCAATTTAAAAAATGGAAACAAGGAATGGCATACTATGTAGCTCATACATTAAATGCTGATCTTGGTGGTGTACTTTCTTTCTACAATATCTAAACAAAGTAAATGAAAACATATGCGCATGCTGAAACCCTGATCATCATTTTCCATTTCTTCTCAATCAGGTAAGAAATCAAACAGCCCTCAGTAGTGAAAAAAGAAAAAGAAAATTGACAAAGACTGAAACACTGGTAAATGGGGAAAATTAGGAAGAAAACAAGTAAGAAATACTGGTAAATGGGGTATATTAGTAAAAGTAAGAAATACTCAGTGAGAGATAGACTGACCAAAACGACGGTTGTTCACGACACCATACCTCGACTGTGGATCCTGGTCTCTGCTGGGTGACTTGGCATATTCTCCATTCATGGACAGGCGGACGCGTTCCATGTCCTCCTTGGTGAACTTGATCTCTTGAGTTCGACGTCTTTCATCTTCCCGGCGACGTTCCTGTTTCAAGTATTTTTCACCCTTTTACCAAAGTTCTCTAAGGACCTTGTGTGGTAATAACCTTTTCATCATAATCTCTTATGTACTTCCTCTCCTCTTTCTTGTAGGTAAAATTCAAATTCAAGTCTTCTTTTATTATAGCAAGACCTATCTACCTAAATCAATTCTATGTTGCATGTGACTATATTACATCCAACTCATGGAATCTGACACTTAGCAAAATGGTTGACAGCTTACATCCGTAATCCGCTGGACTTCCTTTCTCTTCATGTTCTCCATACGTTCCTGTTCCTTTCTTGCCACTTCTGCCTTCCTGGCATCCTCCTCGCGTTTCTTCTGCGCTTGGAATTCTGCTTCAATCTATGATAAAAATTAATGGAAAGTAAATAAGAACTTGCCTTTCACTGAAATTTACAGTTTAAAACAGGTGGTAAAAGAAGTAATGGAGTGTACATAAAAAACTATGCCTTCAGAAAGAAAGAAAGAAGGAAAGAAAGAAGAAAAGAATTATTAACTCTCCGACTAACCATAGTGAACCTCTTGATTGGTTCGAGTTTGTCTTCCTGAGCATCAATGGTCTTGAGGAAGTCGTCATGGCGGCGAATCAGCTCCTCCACCTCAATGATGGAGTCTCCCATCTGGTCATCTCTGACAACAGATTCACGAGACTCTATCCAGGCCTCAAATACCTGTGTGTCTCGCAAGAAGACCTGGTGAAAAAAGAACAAAACGACAAAATTAGCATTCAAGCTCAACTACATTACAAGAATTTTCTTTCTTTCCCTTTCAGATGATTTTTTTTTTTTTTTTTCAGGATAGGGAAATTAAGCAACTGTTTATAAATATCAAAGAAAACACATTAAATCTACTGCTAGTTTGCAGATACCAGTTTTTGCTACTGTCATTATCATTATTTTTATTTATTAATTTATTCAGTCTTTTTTTGGGGGAAGGGGGAGTAGCTATTACACATCAGTCAAGCAATGACATTTACCCTCAAATCATGGTTGCGTTCATAAATTGAGCTCCTCATCTGCCATGTGTCCAACAACAACTTCCTTCTGGCCTCCAATGTTGCAATCTTCTCTGATATTTCTTCTCCCATGAAATGGCCCTGATCAATTAGTGCATTGCCTGCAGCACTGAATTTTTCAAAGGCATCAGCACGTGCATCAATTTCTGTCTTGTATTCTTTGTGCCTTGAGATGATAGCCTCGGCACCTGGCACATCCTTTGGCAATTCTGGAGCAGTTATCTTGGCAAGAATTTCATTCAGCCAAGCCCTGTTGAGAGGACGGTGAACATGAAAGTATTTAAGGTAAAATTTGTCAGCATTAATTATCAGTCTAACAACCCTGAACAAAGTCCAAAACAAAAATTGATATCTATCAATATCACAGTTCTTACATAAGTTCCCTGTAATCATCAAAGTATGACTGTAGTTTCTCAGCCTGATAGAGCTTGTCTTTACGCTGAGCAGACTTATCGAGGAGGTCATTCCAGGCTTCAACTGTCTCCTCATGCTTCACTGAGATGTGTTCTCTTGCATCTGGGAACAGATCTGCCAAGCGCTTTGCTTCCTCGACAACTGATTCTACCTGTGGGTACATTGAATAGACTATTATGAAATATTTGTTCCTTAAAAAAATAAATAAATAAATAAATAAAAAATATATATATACATATGTATATATATTTTTTTGAAAGTCCAATAAAGCTCCTATCAATTAATGGTAATATGTACAATGTCATTTTTTATGTTTATATGGGATGTGATGAGGCAACAAACCCACAAAACAAAGAAAAGAAAAGGAAAAAGATAAATGAAGCAAGATCATACCTGTTCTTTCACAGCAGCCAAATCTCTCTCAAAGCCTTGGTGTCTTCTTGCCAAACCTTGAATGGTCTCCAAGTCATGGCCATAATCTTCAGAGGAAATGAATGCATCCTTCTCAGCAATCCAGCTAATGGTTTCATCAGCATTGCGGTCAAATACATGTACCTGAGAGGAACATTTATGAGCAATTAATAATAATAATAAAAAATATATATACATACTTAGTATAAGCAAAACATTTTCAACATTCATTAAAAATTAGGTGAATATCTCTAAAAGGCCACTTGAACCTGTACATTCAACATACCTGCTTAGCTCCAGCAAGGGCCTCTTGTCTTGCAGTTGACAATTCCTTCAGGTCATCCCATAACTGTTGTAACTCATCCACCTGAAATAATATTAAGTAAATCCAATTCAATTTGGCTATGATTTCCAAGTGTACAATTTTTTTTTAAATACAAGCATGTTGCAGTCATTAGAATCTTCTTAACCATTAATTCACTATGAATGCTTTCAGTACCACTATATGCAACACTGAATTCAATCTAAATCTAAAAAAACTCTCAAGATTAAAAATATCAAGCTGAAACACATCAATCTGGCTCCTATCCATTCCTACTTACAGCTTTTCCATTCAAAATTTTAAACAATGTGCCTGAAGAATGAATAAATTAATGAATGGATGAGTGAAAATAAGTCTTGTTCTCTAGTGCATCTCTACCTTTTCCTGGATCTTTGTTGGCTCTGGATGTCCTTCATCGATAAGCACTTTAGCTTTTTCTTTGACTGTTCCCAGTTTCTCCTCATTGACGTTCAATGCTGTGAGGAATGACTCGAACTTCTGGATCAGGATCTCAACATGCTCTACGTCTCTGCCATAATCCTCGCTTGCTGCTATTGCCATCTGGTCATTGAGCCATTCGCCCACTTCATCACTTTCACGCAGGAAACGGAACAGCTTCCCACTGTCCTCCAGTCGCTTGGCTCTCTTCTCTCGTAGCGTTTTCATTTCTGCATACTGCTCATTCACTAGGGTCTATAAAGGGAAGGAAATGTATATGAATTCTGTTTCATCATTAAGATTCTTGCAAACACTGTATGAACATACAAAATATTCATCACAGAGAAGGCTTAAAATTATATCTAAATTGGCCTCATCTCTTCTCTTATTCTTCCTCTATTTTCACTACAAATGAGAAATTACAAATTCTTCCATATACAGTCAGGTATTGAAAATTATTTGTTACACTTACCATTTTCTTGGTAATGTTTTCACTGTCAAAGTGTCTTCTCTCAGTAAGTTTTACACATAAGACTGACAGTTTTTCCACAGTTGTCTTGAAACTATCAAGATCTCTTGCAACATTGTCTAGTTTCTTGATCAGAGCTCCAACAGAGGTCTCATCCTTCCCGTAATCTTGTGAAACAACGAGTGGTCTCTTTTCTCGCATCCAGGCCTCAGCTTCATTGACCTCAGAATAGAACTGCAGGGAAAAAATGCAATAAGAAATTTTTATACATGTATACAGATCACTGTCAAATTTTCACAAATGAAGGCATCCCCACCATCCTCTCTAAAAAAGGAGAAATATAGGGAAATGTCTTTTAAGGAATTTTTTTCCTTACCATCTGAGATTCAACTGCATCCAACAGCCGGAGTCTTCTGACACTTGCTGTGTCCTTTAGCTGTGAGAGCTGTGTCTGCAACTGTTTCATCTTCTCCTCAATATCTGACGACGCAAAGTGTCCAGAACGGATCATCTGCTGTGATCGACTATTTACACTGTTAATGACTGGTTCATGAGACTGGATCTCTGCTTCCAAGGCCTAGAACAAGATAAAAAGGATATGTCTTTATATAATTTCTTATTTGATTGTATTTTTAGTAGGATCTTGATTGCTTTTCATTTAGACATATTAGATCATTCTTTTTATTCACCAAAATCTACAAAGGCAAAACATCAAAATGATTTTTCTGTTGTATTTTTTTGGGGGGGACAAAAGAGATCTACAAAAACAAAAATGTTTACAAGGCATGCTCTTTACCTGGTGCTTCTTCTGGAGGTTCTGCACAGCTGTTAAGGAAGAGCCAAGGTCCTGGCTTGAAGCAAGGGGCTCCTTCTCTGCCACCCACAAGAGCTCATCCTCTATATCTCGCAGGAGTTGCTGAAGTAGGAGCGCATCCTCAAGATTCTCGTGGCGAATATGTACTGGCTCATGTAAGGAGTTGTATCTGGATGGAAAATGATGGAATGCAAGTTATAAATGGAAAAGAATCAATACTGTTTCATAAACAGCTACCTTTATATTTTACTTACAATTAGGAAAGAACAAACTACTTCTTGGTGACCTATTACCTTTATACATTAATAATAAAGTGAGAATGTCAAAAATACCTCTTTGTGACTGCTTCAACCCTTTCCGTGATCTCTTCGCTCATGAAATGTTTGGCAACAGCAAATGTCTGAGCCACTTCCTTTGCCTGATCCACTTCACTCTGGTGTGAGGCGATGTCATTCTCCAGCTGCTGATGCTTCTTCAGCAGACTCTGGACTGAGGTCAAGTCTCGGCCATGATCTTCTGACTGCAACTGTGTCTCCACATCATCCATCCAGGACTCAAGATCATCCAAGGTGCGATTGAAAAGGAGTGCCTAGAAAAAAAGAACAAAGGAATCTTTAATAAAATAATACAAAGTAGATAAAATACCTCATACAGACACAATATTTAATAGAGATTCAGCTTAATATTATGGAATTTAAATTACACACCCAAATGTCATTCTATTTACCTGGTAGGCCTCATTCAGCCTATCCTTCTTTAGCTGTGAGGAGTCCTGGAGTTGTTTCCACAGAGAATCCAATCCATCCAGTCGTGCTTGAATTTCTTGTTCAGCATAGTGACCATTGGAAATAAGGTTCTCACCTATTGCGAAAAAAGTGAATATAAATAGATGTACATTTTCTTTTCATTTAGCTTCCACTGAACAAGGAGATACATAAAAAAAAAAACTATCTATCCTTCAAATGCAAACGACAAACCATCAAATAATATCTTATTACAAGGAAACAAAATCACGGCCCTCACCTTCCTGAGACACAGCACTGACACGACCCGAGTTGGCGAGGACTTCAGCCTCAAATGCCCCATGCTTCTGGATCTTGGACTGCAGGTTGGTGGGGTCTCGGTAGCTCTCATCGCATGCCACCTGCAATTTCTCTGAGATCCAGCCTTCCACTTCATAGATGTTCCTCAAGAACTGCTGCAGTGACTTGGACTCCCTCAGTTTTAGCCTTCTCTGATGTGCTGCTTCCTTCAGGCTATCCCTCTTGGCAGTCACAACATCAAGGCGCCTTCGAATGCCATCACTATCGTAGTGGTCATTCTTTAGCAGCTCCTTGGCAAAGCTCTCCAGCTGTTCAATCTTGTTGCCTTGGGCCTCAAAGGTCTTCTCGAAGCTCTCATGTTTCTTGATCAGCACTTCCACAGATGCCATAGAATCCTGAAAGAGTATAAAAAAAAGGCTTGAAATGTTCTAATATCTTTGCAAATTAACATTCAGCACATGCCTCACTTCAAATCTCAGGAAAAGATATAGTACAAATTATAATCATCATTCCCTTAAATTTTTTTATGATGTAATAATTACAAATAAAAATTATAACAATAACAAAACAACAAAAACAATAATAACAATAACAACAACAACAACAACAACCATAATAATAATAATAATAATAACAGTAATAATAATAATAATAATAACAACAATAATGACAATAATAGTCCCCATAATCACAGCCTTACCTCATATATTGTGTTCACATTCTGTGGCATGTTAATGAAATAAAAAGACAAACACAAATAAACATCATACACAAATAGAAAACATTCAGATGTAAAGTCGAGAAGAATAGTACAAGGCTTTACTGATGAAAGCAAACTTTAAAACTAATCAAGAATAAGGAACACAAACCAGTCACAGGATGTACCAATTTATTCTACTTCTGGCTAATGAAGCTGAGTTATGAATTGTCCTATAAATTCTTAGAACTACATTGTGAAAGAGAAGAGAATGAAGTAATAATCCGCCTCATGCAATATTTTCTATGGGTAATCCGTAGGTAGCTCTCATCGCATGCCACCTGCAATTTCTCTGAGATCCAGCCTTCCACTTCATAGATGTTCCTCAAGAACTGCTGCAGTGACTTGGACTCCCTCAGTTTTAGCCTTCTCTGATGTGCTGCTTCCTTCAGGCTATCCCTCTTGGCAGTCACAACATCAAGGCGCCTTCGAATGCCATCACTATCGTAGTGGTCATTCTTTAGCAGCTCCTTGGCAAAGCTCTCCAGCTGTTCAATCTTGTTGCCTTGGGCCTCAAAGGTCTTCTCGAAGCTCTCATGTTTCTTGATCAGCACTTCCACAGATGCCATAGAATCCTGAAAGAGTATAAAAAAAAGGCTTGAAATGTTCTAATATCTTTGCAAATAAACATTCAGCACATGCCTCACTTCAAATCTCAGGAAAAGATATAGTACAAATTATAATTATCATTCCCTTAAATTTTTTTATGATGTAATAATTACAAATAAAAATTATAACAATAACAAAACAAAAACAATAATAACAATAACAACAACAACAACAACAACAACCATAATAATAATAATAATAATAATAACAGTAATAATAATAATAATAATAACAACAATAATGACAATAATAGTCCCCATAATCACAGCCTTACCTCATATATTGTGTTCACATTCTGTGGCATGTTAATGAAATAAAAAGACAAACACAAATAAACATCATACACAAATAGAAAACATTCAGATGTAAAGTTGAGAAGAATAGTACAAGGCTTTACTGATGAAAGCAAACTTTAAAACTAATCAAGAATAAGGAACACAAACCAGTCACAGGATGTACCAATTTATTCTACTTCTGGCTAATGAAGCTGAGTTATGAATTGTCCTATAAATTCTTAGAACTACATTGTGAAAGAGAAGAGAATGAAGTAATAATCCGCCTCATGCAATATTTTCTATGGGTAAATAAAAGAGAAAAAAAAAATCAAAACCATATAACTGAAATGCCACTAGAGATGGACAAAAAGAATCCTGTCAGCAGTAAATATCTAACATTATTCCTGTCAGCAGTAAATATTGAATAATAAATACATTTAAGAATATCAACTGTGTGTTTCATAAGCAGCATATAATCTATAACTTGTGAATCTCAGGGTAAACCACACAGTAAACATAATGACTAGGACAAATGACTAAAGCACATAAAATCATCATTCAACTGCAGAAATAAGACACTTCTCTTCTAGTAAAAGTAAAAAAATGAATTAATAAAATAAAAAAATAAAACAGTCAAAGAATATGATAAGCAGATGAAGAAAAAGAGTGTACTGAGACATGTCCTTTTAAGTAGAGTGGATCTCTCTTATCCACACACATGCAACCTACCCCAAGATCATCATTGTTGAGGAAGGCCTCCTTGCTGGCTAGCCATGAGTTGGCTTGCTCACACATCTCTAGGAAGACTTGCAGCTGATGAGCCTGAGATAAGACCTTCTCACGCTCAGTCCAAAACACGGTGACCTGCAATGGTGTCCATAAGTGAGTGAGTTACCTTAAATTGTACCTTCTAAGGGTTTATCTGATCTTCAAATGTAGAGGAGCAATATCTAAGCATTCACAATTACTGAAGAGGAATTTGATTCACTCCATAGCTGTGGTATAACATACCTTGCTCTTCACTTCATCCAGTGTTTCTAGGTTCACCTTGATGGATTCCTTTGCAAAATGATCATCTGCAATAAGCTTCTCACCAAATTCTTTTAGAGCTTCAAACACTTCATTTCGTCCATCAATTTCAGCCTGCAAAGTGATATTGACAATCTCCATAACTATTGCTTGGTAAAGTTAACACTAGATAATAATATATTAATATAGAAATACAATAAAAAATAATCATTCATAATAATACAAGAGTAAGTAAATAACAATAATGTAATCAATAATAAAATCAAAACAACAAATTAAAAATCAATTCTACATCATGATAAAATACACAAAAACACAGTTACTGGATATCATCCATACAATACAAACCTTCTTCTCTTGATGACTCTGCAGTAGCATCTCTGCTTCTGCGGTGTTGCTGGGCAGTGGGGATGCATTCATACGGCTAACAATGTCCTCTCCCCACTTCTCCAGTTCCCGTAGATCAGCCTGGAACTTATGTAGCGTGTAGGAAAGCGAGAGCTTCTCTTTCCTGCCAAAAGAACCATCACAGAGTTTGGACCAAGCCTCTAGAACCTCAGCTTGTTTCTTGTGGATGGGATCCTTCATATCTGGGTACTTCTTGGCCAGGTTAAAGGCAGCCTTTTCATGCTCCTTGATCTTCTTTTCAATAGCTGACATATCGCGGATGATGGTCTCCTGCTTTCTCTGGAGAGTCTCAACCTGAGTCAGGTCCTTTCCAGTGTCTTCATTGGCAAGGATCACAGCCTTCTCACTAATTCGTGCTTTGGTGTCATCAACATCACGGTTAAAGGCATGGATCTCCAAAGCTCCTGCAAGCTCTGTGCGATAGGCATCAATGGCACCTTTCAGGGCCTGCCACCTTGAGAAAAAAAAGGAGAAAAAAGTTATTAAACAATACATATACTAACTGTTTTTTAATACAAAACAAAATCAGAATGCATAGTATTAACAAAATGGAATGCAATCATAGTGATGGATGACTTACTTGTGATTCAGTTCGTTTCTTCTCTGCTGCACAGCCTTGTTGTCACCACAGCCCTGCTTAATGATCTTATCTGCTAATCTATTGATGGTTGTGAACCTGGCATCATCTACACGCATGTCAGAGTCGACATCATCCAGCTTGCGGTGAAGAGCCATGCAGTGCTCGTAATCTTTACCAAGATCCCCTGCTTGGACCATCATTTCCTGTGGCAAAGAATAAAATTAATCCAGTTTCATCAAAATAAAACATGGAATACCTTCTCTAATTAGCTTCAATCTGTCAACTTCTTTGGAAAACTTATTTTGAACTTAGAGCTCTGACCTTCACTGAGAAACAATACTTAGAACACTGACTTACTTTGTCTCTAATCCAAGCATCAACCTTCTCCACCTGAGTGTTGAATTCAAGGATGTCCTGAGCCTCCTCCAGGCCTCTGGAGTGGTTCTCAGCATCAAGCACCAGCTGTGTCCATCTCTCTACAAGATGGTCTACCTCTTCCTTCACTTCAGCTGATGACTTATGCTTCTTCTTGACAAGCATTGCACCTGTGAGAAAACAATTAACAGAAAAATTAAAATTCTATTACCACAAAGAAAAATATTATACATATTTATATATTCCTTTAAAGTTTGCTAAAATTCCTTACATCTACATTTATAAGTTGTTAACATTATCCTCATCAATTTCTCTAGAATAAAACCTACCATTTTCAGTAATTTCCTTGATCCTAGACTCGTGTGCCTGAAGTTCAGCCATGAAGGCCTGGTGCTTCTGCAGCTTCTTGACCTTGTCCTCAAAGCTGGTGACATCCTTCGTCCGTGCTGCCTCCAAATGACTGACTTTCTCATCAATCCACATGTTGGCATCACCTACATCTCTGATGAACTGGGCATGAAGGAGGGCATCTTCTAGTTGCTGTTTACGTGCCCTGTTGAAAGATTATAGAGACTTCATAGAAACATTCATCATCAAAAGCCAAAAGGTTTATAAGCAATACATCAGTGTATGATCTGTTATTAGTTTGAAACCTCACGCTGAAAATAAAATGCAACTTACTTTGTGGCATCTTTTACACGGCCTCTTCTCAACACCACTTCGTCAATGCGCTTCTTGATGTGAGGGGAGTCGAAGTGGTTCTGTTCAATGAGCTTTGAGCCATGGTTCTTCAAAGTATCTAGCTTCTCTTCTTGGGCATACACTAGCTTCTCAAAGGCATCGTGTTTCTTAACCTGTAAGCAGAAGAAAAAATACTTTGTACTAATAACTAGGTTGAGTATCATTTGCATCAGTAGTGGACCAAAACAATAAATCCATAAATCTTACTACAAATAGGAAATACTAATAGTGTGATCATATCCCTAGCAAACACACTGAAATATCAATGAACAGAACAACAAAAACACTTGAGCATCATCTTTACCTGAGCATCCACCTGTTCAATGGTTGTTCCAAAGTCAGCTGTCGACAGAGCAGCTTCTTGAGTGCTGCTGATGGTGTCAAGCTGCTTGGCGTCTCTCAAGAAGAATTGGAGGTCTATTAGCTGGTCTAAGTACACCTTCTTGTGCTGCCAGGCTGCATGCAATTGGTTTCTCTCTTCAAGGACCTATTATGCCACAAAAGAAGGTTATCAATATCAAGGCGAAAGAAAGTTAAAAATACACATTTTGTATCTCATCAGAATATACCATCTGATTATTACAGCATCAAAAATATAAAATAAGGGCCAAGAAAGAAAAAAATTACCTTGTTCACTCTCTCTTCCACCTCAGTGCTGGCATAGTGTCTATCTTCCACCATAATTCGTCCAGCCTCAACCACCTTGCTGAACACATCTTCACGGGCCTCAATTTCAGCCTTGATCCTCTCGTGCTCAGTCTTCAGGCCCTGAGCACTAGCAGCATCACGCACCTTCTCCTGTGCCTTCATTGTTGCCCGCAAATCACTCGACCAATTGATCAAGTTACGAGACTGTTGGGGGTGAAAGTTTGTTAATACTAGTTTTCTTCACCTGTGCTTGTACTTCCACATTAAATCAACTATAAAAACAGTGGCATGATGGGTGCTGAATGCATCAATTTATATATATATATATATATATATATATATATATATATATATATATATATATATATATATATATATATATATATATATATATACATATATATATATATATATATACATATATATATATATATATACATATATATATATATACATATATATATATATATATATATATATATATATATATATATATATATATATATATATATATATATATATATATATATATATATATATATATATACATATATATATATATATATATATATATATATATATACATATATATATATATATATATATATATATATATATATATATATATATATATATATATATATATATATATATATACATATATATATATATATATATATATATATATATATATATATATATATATATATATATATATATATATATATATATACATATATATATACATATATATATACATATATATATACATATATATATACATATATATATACATATATATATATATATATATATATATATATATATATATATATATATATATATATATATATATATATATATATATATATAAAGGGGGGGGGGGGGGAGGCTGGCATTCTGCATTTCCTTACATCTGCTAAGAATCTCTGAAGGTCAGCTGCAGCATGGAGCTCCTCCTTCCTCCTTGAGGCTTTCTCTTGAAGTGTGTTCCAGTTATCAATCACAAGTGCTTGTTGCTCAGCAATGTGTTCTGCATTGCTGCCTGGGTAAGCTGCTTGGAGTCTTGCTGAGTCATCAACCAGTACCTACAGAAATGGTGATATAGTAATTCTATCATCTACAAGACAAGTACCTAAAAGTAGTTTTTTTTAAAGAAAAAATTAAATACAAACCCTATACAAAATATCCATAATTTACCATGATTTCCTTTCTACATAAATCACTTGGCTCAATCTAAAACATTACATTAAAGAGACAAACATACCTGCAACTGGGCCTCCAGTGCCACCAGGTCATTCTCAAAACCTTCATGCTTCCTGAGCAGGGACTGGACCGAGTTCACATCACGGCCCAGATCCTCAGGAATGGATTTGAACTTCTCCTGAATCCTTGCCAGTGCCTCTGCCACGTCGCGGTTGAAGCGGTGGATCTCACCAGCAGCTTCCAGTTTCTGGTCCCTAGCTTCAATGTTCTCCAAGAGACTGTTCCAGGCCACCCTATAATGTCATGAACACACTGTTTTGACATGCTGAATGCTATTTGTGTTTGAGTTTTTCTTATATTGATTTTTATTTGGGGGTATTTCATGCATGAGTATATACAGTGTATATGGTGCTACACACTTTGCCTTTAAGCTGAGGTACACAAATTAGCTGTTTTCTAGTATTTACTTCTTCAATCTAACTACAGAAAGATTTAACTAAACGTACTTAGAACCTACTTTACATAATTATACAAAATATATACATACACTTAAGAAAATATCAGGCATTACAGATGACATTACTATTTTGATTTATGAAATTATCATCAATTAACTTAACTTAACATAACATCTTTAAATAATTTTAAACTAACTTCGGTATCATACTTTAAATTCCACATTACAATCTAGAATCAACTCCTTACAAAAAATAAACCATAAAATATGGAGAACAGAAAGGAAAATCCACAAGAGGGCCGCGTGTCGTGACCTTACCGAACTTTCTTGTGGTACGCAGTCACCTGGATGGCCGGGTCCTGGCTTTTAGTAGGAGAAGAAGCCGGACTTCCCTTACTGTTAGCAAGAAGGGCACAGACAAGTTAGTCCTTAAAGTCCTTACAGATTCCCGAGAGTTACCACGATG